GAAACTATATAACTTATAATAGACAATGGAATGATATGAATTTCTACTGGAACGATATAACTTATAATAGACAATGGAATGATATGAATATCTAATGGAACGATATAACTGTATAATAGACAATGGAATGATATGAATATCTAATGGAATAATAGAACGATGGAACTATCGACTTCATACTTGACTTATTTCTGAAAGGAATTATCTGATCTATTTTCAAAGATTTGTTCTTTGAGCTCATCTTGAGAGGAGGCTCTTCACATGGTTTCAGTCAGCTTTACCTTACTCGACACTTCTAAAAGTTGAGACAATCTTTCAGAACCATTTTATATTTTTTATATTGTCGACTCAGACTCTAGCACTCATACCTTTCAGAACCATTTTATATTTTTTATATTGTCTCAGACTCCGGCACTCATACCTTTCAGAACCATTTTATATATTTTATATTGTCTCAGACTCTAGCACTCATACCTTTCAGAACCATTTTATATATTTTATATTGTCTCAGACTCTAGCACTCNCCTGTATCCTGTATCCTGTATCCTGTATCCTGTATCCTGTATCCTGTATCCTGTATCCTGTATCCTGTATCCTGTATCCTGTATCCTGTATCCTGTATCCTGTATCCTGTATCCTGTATCCTGTATCCTGTATCCTGTATCCTGTATCCTGTATCCTGTATCCTGTATCCTGTATCCTGTATCCTGTATCCTGTATCCTGTATCCTGTATCCTGTATCCTGTATCCTGTATCCTGTATCCTGTATCCTGTATCCTGTATCCTGTATCCTGTATCCTGTATCCTGTATCCTGTATCCTGTATCCTGTATCCTGTATCCTGTATCCTGTATCCTGTATCCTGTATCCTGTATCCTGTATCCTGTATCCTGTATCCTGTATCCTGTATCCTGTATCCTGTATCCTGTATCCTGTATCCTGTATCCTGTATCCTGTATCCTGTATCCTGTATCCTGTATCCTGTATCCTGTATCCTGTATCCTGTATCCTGTATCCTGTATCCTGTATCCTGTATCCTGTATCCTGTATCCTGTATCCTGTATCCTGTATCCTGTATCCTGTATCCTGTATCCTGTATCCTGTATCCTGTATCCTGTATCCTGTATCCTGTATCCTGTATCCTGTATCCTGTATCCTGTATCCTGTATCCTGTATCCTGTATCCTGTATCCTGTATCCTGTATCCTGTATCCTGTATCCTGTATCCTGTATCCTGTATCCTGTATTCTGTATCCTGTATCCTGTATCCTGTATCCTGTATTCTGTAATCTGTATCCTGCATCGTGTATCCTGTATTCCATAAACTTAATAGTGGTGTAAGCAAAGGTGTGAACAACCTTGAACTGAAGAGCGTCATAGAAGTCTAGTGGTTGAAGGAAGTGTATACAAACCTTGCTAAACTGGATGAACAATTTTGGGAATCCGCTGATGGAAACAGAAAAATCTGCGAAATTTTTTATTTGCTATTTTTTTTTTTTAAAGCGGTGGAAATTTATGAAGCACTAAATAGGTAAAATTATCAAAATAAAACTGAGGCGTGAAGTAGGAAACCGAGTTTTATGAATAGATAGATAGATATTAAGGAATAAAAAAGAAAGGTATTCTAGGTGGGAAGAAAAGCAAAGATACCCCGGTGTTTGCTAAAGCCTTAGAATCCTCTAATTCCAGCCTTTGCAATTAGTGGGATTAAAGCGGAGAGAACTATTTACATTTTATACCAGACATATAGTAAGATAAACCCATGGAATACATACTTAGAATACACCAGACATATAGTAGGATAAACCCATGGAATACATACTTAGAATACACCAGACATATAGTAGGATAAACCCATAGAATACATACTTAGAATACACCAGACATATAGTAGGATAAACCCATAGAATACATACTTAGAATACACCAGACATATAGTAGGATAAACCCATAGAATACATACTTAGAAATACACCAGACATATAGTAGGATAAACCCATAGAATACATACTTAGAATAAACCAGACATATAGATGGATAAACCCATAGAATACATACTTAAAATATACCAGACATACATAGCATTAGTTATATCCATTTACTTCAGGGTTACACTTTAGAGACGCTTGTACGTAATTTGTACAGTCTATGTTCTTATATTCAAGGTTCCTTGTGGACTAACACTGACGTCTTTCTGTGCTTTATTGTATAATAATTGAATAATAAAATACTCAATTGAATACAGAAACCCAAAATTAAGCTTCATATCGTCATAGAGTTTTGGACCGTCTTTACCGTCTTATCCTTTGTGGGTAACCCTGTAGATTATATGTTAAGAATTAACAAGACAAGACCGTTGAATAAAGATGAAGATTTCATTTTTGAAACAAAGTCGAATGCTTTTTGCAAGTCTAAATACACATATAAATCATTATATTGTAATGTAATGAAACATAGTCAAATGCTTTTTGCAAGTCTAAATATACATAAAAATCATTATATTGTAATGTAATGAAATAAGTCAAATGCTTTTTGCAAGTCTAAATATATTTATAAATCATTATATTGTAATGTAATGAAACATAGTCAAATGCTTTTTCAAGTCTAAATATACATATAAATCATTATATTGTAATGTAATGAAACAAGTCAAATGCTTTTTGCAATCCTAAATATACATATAAATCATTATATTGTAATGTAATGAAACAAGTCAAATGCTTTTTGAAAGTCTAAATATACAAATAAATGATTATAATTGTCGATCCACGTTATCAAAAGTCTGCTTAAATTATAAATTCTTTTTTGAAAATTTCGGAATAAAGTATTTTTGAAGATTTCTCATTGTGAACTTAAAAAATTAATGTCATTTAAATTATTGATAGCACTCAGTGTGTTTCTGATAAAACTAACATGAATTAATAGAAATAAAAACTTAAGATTAATGTCCTACATCGAACCAAGGGCCGTTAAGGATGAAAAATACTGAACAAGAAACCCTCCTTGGATCTTTGATGATGCAAAAACATTCATTTCCAAGCCGAGGACAATTTTTACATCAAACCATTAACCCTATTCCTGCTGGGGGGGGGGGGGTCAATTTGACCCTCCCCCTGTAGTTTTTTTTACATAACTCAAAAAGTATTGGTCTGAGGCTGTTGAAATTTTCTGACTTTTCTTACATACCCAAAGCCCTCCCTTTAAACCTAAAACCGGGCTTTAATACTAACTGCCTGAGTCCTCAGGCACACTGCCTGAATGACTGCTTTTGCCTGTAACAAACTAAATCTTTGTTTTGACCCACTTTCACTTGTCAGATTTTGATAAAATTTAGCTTTTTGGAAACCCTAAGACATAAGGAAACGGATTGCACAAGTTTTGCGAAAAAAAAATTGCAAATTTTTTGCAAACAACCTGTCAAAGGAAATTTGCACATTTTTAGTTTTTCTTGATTAAAAATCAGGTTATTTTGCAAAATTTTTTGCATATTTGAAATGGCATGGTCAAGGGCTTTTCAAAAATGTATAATTTGTCATTTTTTGGACAAATTTTTTTTTGCAAACATTTTTACTATAAAACTGGATTTTGCGATAAAGAATTCAATTTTCGCAAATTTGCAAATTTTTTTGCAGATTCTAAAAGTAGAGCACAAGAGCTTTCTAATGTTGTATCATTTGTCATATTTGGACATAAAACATGGGATTTAGAGGGGGGGGTCAAATTGACCCCCCCCTAGCGTATCCTGGTTTTCAAGTACCCCAGCAGGGATAGGGTTAAGATCAATTGAACCATACATTTGTTTAAAATCACGAAACCTCTATTCCTATATAGGTACTGAATACTTGCCTAAAAATTATAATCTTCTACTCTCTTTGCAACCTGATGGTCTAAACCATTAATATTTCAAAAAATCAAATGATGACAATTACAAATTTTGCAGTCCTTTCTATTTTTATTAACGGATTTTAGAAAAATAATGACCGCCCATATCTCTGGAGTCATAAATGCACCCTCAAGATCCATCCGTAAAGGAATTGAGTCTATGCCACAAACTCTGATTTTTTATCTCTATATCTTTGCAACCCAATTTCCCGGACCTTAGTTATTTTAAACTATGAATTCTGTTTGATAAAAAAATCAAAGTTTCATCATCAGGTTACAAAGATATAGTGATAAGAACATTTGAGTTTGTGGCAAAGACTCAATTTCTTTCTAAATATTCCCAGCCAAGAAAAATTTCTATCCCGAATATTTCTTTGTCTGGTGTGTTGTCTTTCCTGGTCTTTAAATATCGAAGTTAACTTTGTAAATTAGTCGAACAATAATTGTTTTAAAAACCATGTTAATAGATATAATTAAGGGATATAATTAAGGGATATAATTAGCGGGGAAAATGATATATTCCCAGGCACACCAAGATTCATTACTTCTTTCATTAAATATGAGTTTCAATAAATACAAACGAAGGAGTCAATTCATTGACACAAACTAAAATTTTCTAATCCCGATATCTTTGCAACCTAATGTCGTAGACCTTGGATATTTCAATCTATGCATTCTGTCAGATCAAATAATCTTATGAAACCTTGAACAAATTGTTTCTCATTTTCCGGAAATATTCCGGAACCCGGGGGAATTTGTCTCTCACAAAGTTAACAGAAATGTTGCATAAAGGGGAAATTGTGAATTGAGGAGTATACTCCATATATGCAAATATGGACAGGAATTTTCTGACAGAAAATGTTTTAAATTAAAAAGTATGAAATTTACACAAGTATGCCCCTAGTTGCTGGCAATTCATGGCTTTTTTAATTCCAGAATTGTAAATGTATAACTCCTTGTAAATTCAGAATACCTTGTAATTCCAGAGCTACTTGTAAATCCAGAACTTCTTTTAAATCCAGAACTTCTTGTAAATCCAGAACTACTTATAAATCCAGAACTACTTGTAAATCCAGAACTTCTTGTAAATCCAAAACTAAACTATTTATTTATTTTTCAGGTTTGAAGATGATCATTTATTCATCTCATGGTCTTACAGTCGTCTTCCTCACACTCACTCTAAACGGTAATAAAAACTTAGTTGATATAATTAAGACAAATTGTATTCGTATATTTTGTAAAATAAGATATTACATACTTTTAGAAAAAAAATCAAATTTCTTAACCCTATTCATTGCAAATTTTTTTGCAGATTCTAAAAGTAGAGCACAAGAGCTTTCTAATGATGTATCATTTGTCATATTTGGACATAAAACATGGGATTTAGAGGGGGGGTCAAATTGACCCCCCCCCCAGCGTATCCTGGTTTTCAAGTACCCCAGCGGAGATAGGGTTAAGAAAAAACTTTTTAATTATTTGAGTTAAATTAAAAATTTAATTGATGAATTAGACTTTCTTTAGAGTTTGAATTTATAAATTTTTTAATATCGTGATTTTCAAATTAGTTTTGTCCATAATCAAATGTTTTTTTCCAACATGGGCAACATCACCTGATTACCAGTCTCTATAGAGTTGTATTGGAAAACTATTTTCCAAATTGACGTCACAAATGCACCTGGGTTCAAGGCACAATATAATGCACCTGGATTCAAGGCACAATATAATGCACCTGGATTCAAGGCACAATATAATGCACCTGGGTTCAAGGCACAATATCTTTTTCTCTCAAGTTTACAATTGCATTTCAAAATAATTTTTGTTCATTTAAAGCAAGGGTCGTCAAAAATTAAATGTCTTTATCATAAACAGTTTGATTTTTCTGTCAATCTGACCTTAATCTTAAAGGGAGTGTTCGAGAAAAATGAAAGGGGTATAGGCTGAATGCGATAAAAAAGCGCTTTTGATCGCTAATAATCTTACTTTTTTATCGCATTAAGCCGCTACCCCCTTTCATTTTTCGCGAACACTCCTTTTTAAGAAATTAAGAAATCATTTTGCGCAAAATTTCTGGTGTGACTTGGTGATCTTTTTACTCCTCCACCATAAACTAAGCTTTTGGTGCGTAATGTAGTAATTTTCAGTCCAATGACCCCAACAATAGTGCATCTAATTTTCAGTTCACACCAAAAGAGTAAATGGGTTCAAAACCAGCCTTTCTTTCTAAATAAGTGCTTTAAAGAAAAGGAGCTTTTATCGTAAAAGGAAAGCTTAGTTCAATAAGGTTCCTTTTCAAATAAGTTTTAAAGGGTGAACTGTACAGAATGAATTACTTATCTGCCATGCAAATCCATCCATCGTTTAAAATGATTTGGGATCCTCATTTCCAGGGCTACAAAAAGGTTGTAAAGTCAGAAAGTTCAGTCCATGGGTTTCCTGTGAATTTCATACGGTTCGATTAAAACTATCAATAAATTAAACTTTCTAGAATTTACTGACAGGAAACTATACATAGAGAATTAACAATAGTTCGATAAGGAATTAGAATAAGAATTTTGTAAAATATTTTTAAAAAAATCTAGCTAGAGACAAGCGTTAAAGCTGCTTTAAAATCTTTAAAGGGACCGTTCACTTATTTGGGTAATTTCAGGGTAAACTACACAGCCAATTCGCTGTTGATAGGAAATAGACTTACTAAGGACCCTGAAATTACCCAAATAAGTGAACGGTTCCTTTAAATGAAAGGGACTGTACCAGTAATTTCCAGTGATCCTGCAAAAAAAAGGCAATCATCGATTCACAACGGTACCCATACCAATTTTTCTACATAAGTGATTTACGCATTTCTTCTGCAGGAAAACATATAGGTACAATCCGAAACAAACACTTTTAATCTAAAAATATCTCCCACATTATTGATTAAATAATGGTATAACGCAGATAAGGCATTGACATCTTTGCATGAAGGGTCACTTGAAATAAAAGTATACAGGGGGGGGGGGCTAGCCGCAGCCGCTGGTGTTTATGTGTTGGCAAAACGGCAAGATCAAATTGTCGTAAATTTTTTGAGAAAACTCATGAGTGACATTGGCCAATTATTTTTGAATTTTTAAAACTCCACGGTCAAAGTCAGGCACTTTAGGTGGTAATATTTGAAACAATACTTATTTTTTGCTCAGGAATGAGTTGGAGTGCTGGGAAGGATTTTATCTCCCGTCCATATTTTGGAGAACAGGAAACAGACATTGTTGTTCAGCAGGGAGAAGTAGCATTCTTTAACTGTCATGTTCATAATCTAGCAAACCAAACAGTAAGTATAATTCTATAAACTCAGTGTTTTAAAATTGTACTGTACTGCCCCAGCCTCACAAATTTAACAGTATGTACACTAAGAGTATTTGTTTATTGTAACGTACTTCTCAAGCCTCACAAACCGAACAGTAAGTACACTTAGAATCTTTGACAATTGTACTGCACCGCTCCGGCCTAGCAAACCAAACAGTAAGTACAATGTAAACTAAGAGTCTTTGAAAATTGTACTGTACTGCCCCGAGTATTTTACATTGTACAGTATGGCTCCAGCCTAAAAACAGTAAGTACACTCTAAATTCAGTGTTCCAATCCGGCTTATTGTATCAGTCCGGCTTATTGTATCATTCCCGCTTAGTGTACCAGTCCGGCTTATTGTATCAGTCCGGCTTATTGTATCATTTCCGCTTATTGTACCAGTCCCGCTTATTGTACCAGTCCGGCTTCTATACTGTACTGTAAACTATACCCTATTAAACATTAGTTCATCCAATAGTTCGATTTTAAAACAAATGACAAAGTTTCTTTACCTTCCCCCTAAAACCCAAAAATGAATTATTTTAGAAAGATTTCTTTTTTAATCCAGAAAACTGTACTTAATTGTTTTAGTTTGAAAACTGAAGTTTAATTTATAATATTTATGAACGGTTGAGGGTTAGGGGAAATATATTTTGCAGTAATTGCAAATTTGTTCTAGAACTCTAGCCTTGTATACAACCTTACTTTGTATACAGCAATATAAATATGTGAATTCTACCTTACTTTGTATACAACAATATATAAATATGTAGAATTCTACCTTACTTTGTATACAACAAGATAAATGTATAGAATTCTACTTTACTTTGTATACAACAATATAAATATAAAGAATTCTCCCTTACTTTGTATACAACAATATAAATATATAGAATTCTACCTTACTTTGTATACAACAATAAAAATATATAGAATTCTCCCTTACTTTGTATTCAACAATATAATTATGTAGAATTCTACCTTACTTTGTATACAACAATATATATATATGTAGAATTCTACCTTATTTGGATGCAACAATATAAATATGTAGAATTCAACCTTGCTTTGTATACAACAATATAAATATGTAGAATTCTACCTTACTTTGTATACAACAATATACATGTATAGAATTCTACCTTAGTTTGTATACAACAATATACATGTATAGAATTCTACCTTAGTTTGTATACAACAATATAAATATGTAGAATTCTACCTTACTTTGTATACAACAGTATAAATATGTAGAATTCTACCTTACTTTGTATACAACAATATAAATATGTAGAATTCTACCTTACTTTGTATACAACAATATAAATATGTAGAATTCTACCTTACTTTGTATACAACAGTATAAATATGTAGAATTCTACCTTACTTTGTATACAACAATATAATTATGTAGAATTCTACCTTACTTTGTATACAACAATATAAATATGTAGAATTCTACCTTACTTTGTATACAACAAAAGAAATATGTAGAATTCTACCTTACTTTGTAAACAACAATATAAATATGTAGAATTCTACCTTACTTTGTATACAACAAAAGAAATATGTACAGTGAAACCCTTAATAACGAATACATCGAAAGAGTTTATCAAATGTCGTCTTGACAATTTTTCAATGAGTTTTATACTATATTATGTAAATTTCAGTATTTGCGAAAATAAATAAATAGCCATGAATATGCGGGAACAGTTTTAAAGAGTTCCATGTAATCATTAAATTAAAAAACTAAATATCTGCAACATTACATTATCAGAAAGTGAAGAATACGACATTTTATGAATTCTTTCGATGTATTCGTTATTAAGGGTTTCACTTTAGAATTCTACATTAATTTGAACAAAACAAAAGAAATATGTAGAATTCTACCTTACTTGACAAGATAGTACCCATTGGTTTGGCCTTGATGGTTTACCAGCTAGTGTTCATGATGACATCGATAGCTGACAAGAGTGTGCCCATTTGTTTGGCATTGATAGTTTACGAGTTTGTGTCTGAGTTTTGATATTTATAGTACACGAGATCGTGTCCAGGTTTTGGCATTGATAGTACACAAGATCATGTCCAGGTTTTGATATTGATAGTACACAAGATCGTGTCCAGGTTTTGGCATTGATAGTACACCAGATCTTGTCCAGGTTTTGATATTGATAGTACATGAGATCGTGTCCAGGTTTTGATATTGATAGTACACAAGATCGTGTCCAGGTTTTGGCATTGATAGTACACGAGATCGTGTCCAGGTTTTGGCATTGATAGTACACGAGATCGTGTCCAGGTTTTGATATTGATAGTACACAAGATCGTGTCCAGGTTTTGATATTGATAGTACACGAGATCGTGTCCAGGTTTTGGCATTGATAGTACATGAGATCGTGTCCAGGTTTTGGCATTGATAGTATATGAGATTGGTCCAGGTTTTGGCATTGATAGTACACAAGATCATGTCCAGGTTTTGGCATTGATAGTACACGAGATCGTGTCCATGTTTTGGCATTGATAGTACACGAGATCGTGTCCAGGTTTTGGCATTGATAGTACATGAGATCGTGTCCAGGTTTTGGCATTGATAGTATACAAGATCGTGTCCAGGTTTTGGCATTGATAGTACACAAGATCGTGTCCAGGTTTTGACATTGATAGTACACAAGATCGTGTCCAGGTTTTGGCATTGATAGTACACAAGATCGTGTCCAGGTTTTTACATTGATAATACACGAGATCGTGTCCAGGTTTTGACATTGATAGTACACAAGATTGTGTCCAGGTTTTGGCATTGATAGTACACAAGATCGTGTCCAGGTTTTGGCATTGGTAATACACAAGATCGTGTCCAGGTTTTGGCATTGATAGTAAAGTGAAACATAGTTTTACCTGGAAAGATACGGGTTTGAGAAACCCTTATGGAGTACGGAATGTAGTTCACTGGGTTCCCAAGCTAGCTATATATTAAGATATATAGTTCTTCTATGTAAATATGTAGAATTCTAATACCTAGCTTATATGTAGATAGTTCTAATATATAAATATGTAGACCAGATAAATGGTGCGTAACAATGATGCAGGGGCCGGGGGGATAGTTTTAAAACTATAG